TCCCCAGTAGTGAATTATTTCAATTAAAAAAAAAAAAAGAAACATACAAATATCTGTTTCCTTGAAAGGTGGTAAATTTAAATTTTCAGGAAAAGAGTACACTGTGGAATGGTTAGAAAAAATACTTTTAATAGAAAGCTCAAGAATCAATATCATGCTGCTTTCTATGAAAGTATGGTTCTTACCCCATTCATACATGTTTGCTTCCTTCTCAGTCTGAAAGCCAAGAATCTAGGAAGATGCATTTTCAGAGCACAAGTAGATAAAGTAGGCATGCCAAACATTGCCTTTAGAGTTTTCTACAAAAATCATATCACTGTTCTCTCTGAGAATGCCCCGTATATCTGAAATTGTATTTGCTAGTAGCCCATTTGAGTAACAACACATAGTTTGTCATTGGCTAAAACCAACTCATGGCCAAATTCAATCTTTGAAACGAGTTATACAAAACAGTGGAGTGGGAAACCTCTGTTGCGAAATTGTGTCTGAAAATTCAGCTTTGCCCAAAACAAAAAGGAAAAGAGGATACAAATGGGAAGGGATATGGAATATGGACAAGAAAGATAAATATGCAAAATAGAAGAAACCAGACCTGAACAGGAAAGAAACTAAGATCTGATTATAAATAATTTCCATTGCAATATTCAAAATGGGGAGTAATAGCCCCAGACTAAAAGCTGGTTTTAGAAATCCTCTAAGCAGCAAAAATGCATTGAAGAAGAAAAAGACAAGATTGTTTACTACAAAAAAAAGCTAGCACAAGTCAGTACTGGAAAACAACCTTTTGTTCTCATTGATCCTGTTACCACTCAAATGTTTTACATCACCAGCTCACACAAAGAACTCAAACAAAATGAAATTGAAATTAGACTCCAAACCGCAGAGAGAATATGCTGTCCAACTCCCACACTAGATATCACTCACTCGTCCACTGGCCTAAGAAATGTTTGCAAGGCGTATTTACAATAACAAAATGTAAGGGTTTTAATTACTAGGAGTGTAAGTTTTTCACAAGCACTGCAGTTGTCGTCCAAAATTCAGCTATAAAATTCACGGAAGGAAACTTAACATAAAATATTGTTTTACAGACAAGATCTCAGATTGGTCAAGCTTTCCTTCTAGAACGCCTCAGCGGCCACATGATTTCAACAACTTCAGCAAGAAAATTCTCGTGCAAATTTTGGGGATATGAGCCAATAAGGTTCTCTGACATTATATTTTCCAAATTGTACATCATTTGGAAAACAGTTGTTTGATTTAGTCACCTGAATTAAACAGCTGTTTAATTCAGAAAGCAGACATCCAGTACTTTCAAACTTTGAACATGAGCTCTCAAGACTGTAGTATATTACTGGGTTATAAATTTTACTTGAGATATTCCAGCATGTGTTAGATGTGGCAGTTAATATTAGGCTTTTCTGAACCAGCTGCTTATTAAAATATATTTTTCATGTGTTTAGCTTTTATCTAAAACATTGTAATCTGGTAGTCAGTAATTTCAAACAAAATTAGGATTTTAAGGGCCCTTTAAGCTCTCATTTCACAACAAAAATAAAATTACTGCAAGAAAACAGCAGCATGTGTGACCATTAGCAATTCCTCCTCTACAAAGGGAGCCCAGCAGCTATGAGTTCCATAATATGGTAGAATCACTTCACAACACAAACACTAAGACTTTAGAATAACCAGAAACACTGCTTTCCTCATAGGAGGAAGAAAACAGTGGTAGCTGCACCCCAAGAAATAAAATTGCAGCTCATCTGTAAATGGAGTTACCACACCAAACTTTCACAGAATGTATCAGTTTGCTTTTCACACTGTATCATGATAGTGCTGCTACTTTTCAAAGCGGACTAAAATCACTTGATATCAAGCAATGCTTTGTACCCTTAAAACATAGAAAATCATACTGTTGGGGTTTCTTTGTTATTAAATAAAGAAACCTCCATATCCCTTTCAAGTAAGAGGAAACATTTTAGAACATATACAGTAAAGGTAGACGGATCACAATACCACCAAATCCCTGTGTTTTTTCATACTTCAACTGAATTATTCAACTGGCAATATTCATTTGCTTATGGCATTCTTAAATTCAGAGAAAAGATTTAAGAACTTTAACTCAAAGGAATCCTAATCTTATTTTTTTGAAAAGGCTAAAAGTCCTAAACCATGACCTAAAAATGTTCTTACTGAAAAAATAACTGTACAAAAAAATCCAAGAAGTAGGATTATCATTTGCCTTGCAATTACAACAGTGTTTGCTTCTTTTAATGGCTTTAATCAGTCTCGCAGAGGCTTTGTTGCAGCCTGTAGTATTCCGTAGCATTCCAATGTTCTAAGGGATAGCTCACCTGAAAAGGTAATACTCCCTCTTTTGCAGCTGTAACTGTCCCAGAGCATTTTTAGGCTTTCCAAAGTAATTTTTGAGTGTAGTTCTAAGATAATAGATTACAAAAAAAGATGAACCATCTATCATGGGGAAACATATGCATTAATTGAAAATTATCAATAGCCAAAAAACCTTAAGATGGTCCTTCTCTCCAGAACCTAAAGTTTTAAAAACGCCAAAGACATCTTTACTCATATAGAGACATCACATGATAAAATACATTCTCTATTCTCCAAGATGCTTTTCCAATAATTTTATCATCATCCCAGAAATACATGTCGTCTCTAACCAGGGCCAAAGTCTGTATCTTTATTAATATTAGTATGGTAAACACATGAGATAAAATCGTACCATACTCAAGACCCTTCAGAAGTTTGCAAGAGAAGTGCTATACCCAATCACAAAGAAGTCATAAGAATCGTGCAGCTATTGTGTAAAAGTGATAATTAAGTCTCAACAATTCTGATCAGGAACATCAAAACAAAGTACATGTTTGCAGGATTGAGGCTTACATTAAAGGAGGTACCTGCAATTCCTACAGTAAACAACCAAGTAATTGCAATAAAAATTGCATAGGACCGAACTTTTAATAGAATGCCTTTACACATTCATAATAAAGCTCACTCCTTAATGCTACAGTTGATAGGAAAATAGGTAGTAGTGGAACATGCTATTATAAGCAATGCAAACCAACCGTGAATTGAAAGGAATCTCCTCTAAGCTTCCCCTAGCATTTCCTTTCCTCTAGATACCCCCAGTACCTCCCGTCCTTCATTTACAGGTTTAAAAGCTTCTGCACTTAAGGGTTGGGTTGGATGCAGAATACGATTTTCATTAAGCACAGCATGAATTTAAAGTGCAAGTTACTCCAGAAAAGCAACTCCTTTCCTAGACAAACCGGTTAGAGCCAAGATTTTTTTCCCCCTTCAATGTCCAGAAAGGATTGAGCACAGCAACGTTCCAGCCCAGCACTGAAGCCAGAGACAGTAACCAGGAGTCAAAAGGACCTGAAACCTTTGCCTCAACACTCCTTGCCACCCAGAGAGACGAGCCCAAAAGAGAGTACCAAAAGCCAACAAAGAAAACACGGTGCTCTGTGCGTCATCCCTGCCTGGTAGCTTCGGCCACCTGAAGAAAAGGCAGAAACACTCACTCACCTGGCAGGGA